TTTTTTTTATTGGTTGTTCAAAACATTACAAAGCTCTTGACATATCATATTTCATACATTTGATTCAAGTGGGTTATGAACTCCCATTTTCACCCCGTATACAGATTGCAGAATCACATCGGTTACACATCCACGTTTTTACATACTGTCATACTAGTGTATTCTGCTACCTTTCCTATCCTCTACTATCCCCCCTCCCTCCCCTCCCATCTTCTCTCTCTACCCCATCTACTGTAATTCATTTCTCTCCCTTGTTTTTTTTTTCCCTTTCCCCTCACAACCTCTTATATGTAATTTTGTATAACAATGAGGGTCTCCTTCCATTTCCATGCAATTTCCCTTCTTTCTCCCTTTCCCTCCCACCTCTCGTTACTTTTAATCATTTATTTCACTTATTTCAGAAATACTGATTGGAACCTTTCTACAGCCCAACCCACTTTGGTGGCCCAAGGAGCCTTCAGGAGCCTGCAGGCATCTCCATTGTATCTCACATATCTGAAGCCCTGGTCCCAGTGTTTTAAACCTACACCTTTGCCAAGCAAGGTCCTTCGAGTCTGTCAGTCCTAGTAGAACTCTTCCTAGCACACAGATCATGGAAGCCACATCCATTTGGAGTCACACAGCCCTGGGTCACAAAGAGGAGGCCCCAGTTGCCATGGGACTGCCTTTCCTGGGACAAAGGCCTGACAAATCCTGCTCCCTAGAGAAGGAGCCTGGGGTCCCACCACCACAGTGCCCTGCTGACCTGGCCGACCTTTTCTTTCTCCTCTTCTGGACATTAGCTTAAGAATGGAATGGGACTAAGGAGAATGAATGAGGGAGTGGATTCGACTTAGCGTTCTGCCTTTAGCAGCATGAAAATGTTCTTATATTATGAAAAATGGAAAAAGGAAAGAGTCCATTGTAAAAGGGGACCGCGAGGTTGTGATGAGATAGAATTCCAGCGGGGGAGGATCTTCCTCTCACACAGACTGAGAGTTTTCTCAGATATGTGACAAGAGCTAATTTTAGAAAAATGATTCTCGAAAGAAAATGACTCCCGAAGGCTATTAAGCTACAAGAATGTCTCACTATAGCTCACACACTAAATCTTTATTATTTCAACATTAAAATAAAAACTTAGCTTTAAGATTAGTGCAGACATCTCTCTCTCTCTCTCTCTCTCACACACACACACACACACACACACACACATTGGTGTTTCTCAGACCCATAGAAAAACCTGGCAAGCTGGCGTTTATAGCAGACACATCAAAGTGTGTTAAAAAAAAAAAAGGACTCCATTCAAGAAAACTGGCGATAAAACTTGTCAACCGCAGGGCTTGGGAGGGACATCATTAAAGCAGAAAGGCCTAGAATTAACCTCTCTCTGCCCTTGAACAAAATAAGAAGTTAGCAGCATTAACCTAAGCTGCATTGTAATGTTTGTCTGCGGCAGTGTTTACATTTCATAATTTCATCTGACAACTTGTGATAAATTGTGCCTTTTGGAAAATGTGATTTCTTTCAGAACAATCGGAAGGAGCATTTAAACACTCTTTTGTACTAGTCCTGAGTATCAATGAGGGAATGCGACTCACTCCTTTGTTTGGGAATTAGTATGGAAGATACGGGCACCCACCAACCTTCCTAGGCAAGCAGAACAGTTAAAATAATTTGCAGCAGTGGGGGCACTTTTGATTTGGCCTGCAAAAATAGAGGTTACCTAGAGGGTTGGCGAGAAAGAGAACAGAAGTAGGAGGAAGAGTGGGAATGGGAAAAAGTAGTGCCAACAGGCTGAGAACATCCACTGGGAATCCAAACCTTCCCACTGCCAGGTAATCACGTCGGAATTGCTGTGGGAAGGAAGAGAAAGCCACACTGCATCTGGTTTGTGTGTAATCTTGCCAGAGCTCTTCCCAGGGGAAAACTGGCAACAAGTCCACAGCCTTAGTCACTTAAACCACCATCGACAAAGCACACGTGAAGGTCTGATTAGGGAGCACTTTTCCATCGGCGTTTGGGGACAGATGATTTGCCTGATGGGCCTCTAACACGTCCCTGATGCCATTTATTTCACACCAGCTAATGATGGCATATAGCAGTGAGTCTAACAGACGACTTTGTTTGAGCTATGTCATTACGATATTTCAGATGCACTGTATTAGGGGGAAAATATGCTTTCTATTGCTTAGCCAAACCTCCCTTTCTTTCTATTAGGCTGTGTTTTTCTTTCAAGGAAAAGCACAATGCATAGTTTTCACATTGATGACAGTCTCCTACCTCTCTACCCTGGATTTGTTCAAATAATGCTGATGGCGGAGACCCACCATACTTAGAGTGATTTCTGTAGCATTTTGCTAGCAGAGTACTTGCAGTTGCCTTGAGATTTAATCATTTTGGAGAATGTTCTCTTAATTAGCAACAGAAGGTTCGAAGCTACAGAAGTTGCAGCAAAGGCTTTTAGATTATTAAAAGTTGAAGTCTAATCACGAATGAAAGCAGCAAACCCACTCCTTTCTATAATTACTGAGGGAGCCACATGTGTCTTACCTGGGGAAGCAGCAGCCTTTTGCATTGGGATCCTCATGCCGTTTGTGGAGCTCTGAGGGCTGCCTGGATCCCACCTCTTCCCACTTCCAGACAGAGAGAACAAACTGTCATGGAGTCCTGTCCTTCCCTTTTTGTATGTCCCAGATCCTCCTGTTCTCCCTCACCATCATGTCTGCCATCATCACCCCTTGACAAGCAAGGCTTCCCATGTCTGCAGCTCGGAGCTAGGTGTTTTCACATAATGAACTCTGTATCTGATCATCTGAAACTTTTTGTGGAATTTAGCAGGTTCACTGCAGCTTTCTGACACCCCTAAAGGCGACATTAATTCATCTTTGGGGGAGGGAGGCCCTGGCCCTCCAGCCAGAAGTTTCTCTTTCCCAAGAGCTGAAGGCTTCATTTTCCTTCCTGCACACCCCTCCACTCAGCACACACCTCACCTTTGTCTGTGTATTTTAAAAATATTCTCTCAAGCTAATGCTGAAATAAGGAACTTCTGTTTCCCACTCTGAAATTGCCCACTGAGCACTGTTCCTCAGTGCAGGGAAATTAGGAAATGATAATTCCCAACCAGAAGCAGAAAGACAGCCTTTAAAGGAAGGACTGCAGAATTGGTGGCAAAGAATTTGGCTTTTTCCCTGGGTTCCTGTCCTGGAGCTTCTGAAACTTGAATTTTCCTAAGCAAGAGGAGGTGATTCACAAAGCATCCCTAGATAGCTTCAGGTTGGGGACTGATCACCTGAAACATCATTACAAAGTTGGAAATTTGGGAATCTCAAGAAGAAGAGGGGTGCTGGAGACTGAGTTCAGTCACATGGCCAACAATTCAATCCGTTATGCTAATGTAATAAAACCTCAATTAAAAACTCTGAAACCAAGGCTTAGTGGAGCTTTCTGGTTGGTGAACATTTCAATGTGCCAGGAGGGAAACATGCAGATTCCATAGGAGAGGGTTTGGAAACTTTGAATTCCCTCCAAATATCACCCTATATGTATCTGTATGATAAAACTATAACCATAAGTATAGCACTTGCCTGACTTCAGTTAGTCTTTCTAATAGAGTACCAGATTTGATGGGTAACTCCAGATGGGTAGCTGAAACATAAGAAGTGTGGATAACACAGCTGGCTCCCAAAGTGAGGACAGTCTTGTGCATGACTGAACTCTTGGAGACTTCAGAATGCTAGTGTCAGAGTTTATTGCAATGCACACGACTGCAGCGCGAGCAGAGCAATGGTTATTAAGGGTAATTTTCCAATTCTATTAGATACCTTGAAATACTGGAAACAACTTCTAGATCTTCCCACTGCGCATTACAGCTTGAATCACTGTCTCGTGAGTTAGGCGGGTAATGTAGAAGATGCCACTCTAAGAGTGGCCCCAGACTGCACCTTAGCAAACTGCTCATTACCAGTTGCCAAAGTGATGTATACAGAACTGGTGAGTAAGCACTTAGAAACTTGGACAGATATTAGACTTTGCCATGACATTCAGGCATGGAAAGAAATATAAATATACCAGACCGTGACAATTTGGGGGAAAATGATCCTTTACCACAGATAGTTTGGAGTGTCTAATTTAGAAAATATAACTTCAGTTGGTATGAGCAGATGGAGTCAGAATTTAGTGTTAAAAGTGTGAACCTTACATCAACCAGATGGGTATGTAATATCTGCTGCGGGCTATCTCTGTGGTTTTGAGAGTTGCTTAGCCTTGCTGGGCCTTAGCTTCCTCATTTAGTACATGAATATAGCAATATTTCCTAACTTACTAGGTACTAAAAAGACCAAATGAGATCACCCAGGACAGATGCTAAGTACAGAGCCCAGCACAAATCAAGCTAACTGCTGGTATTTCTTCAGTGTTCACTGCTTGGCATTGGTGATTCTGACTTGGTTGTAGAAGTAGGAGGGTGTTATCTGGGGGCACTGTTGAAATCAACCTACTCTGGCATGACATTCATCCACGGCCACCAGGGTCTCTGAGACATTTCCTTACTTAGTGCCATACATGGTATGTTCCAGGCAGCCTTCTGGGTCCAGGAGACTGTGAGGAATCAAATCTAGTTGTCACCCCTTAGAAATGCTCAGCATACCTGGTGTACAATATATGAGCTTGAGCCTTTAGCAGACTGATCGGCAGATAAGAACAGGGAAACGATACTTGACTCTTCTGCCTAGCTCCACAAAATCGGGATTCTATAAACTCGGATGCAGGGGCGTTTTGTTGGAGTATCCCACTGTGGTGAGGAGCCAGACGCATCCCTGAGACACCTGGGACAGCCCAAGGTTCTGGACTGAGGAGGTGAGGCAAGTCAGGGATGGACAGAACCCCTGGATGTAGTGAAGCTCCCGAATGATTCTGATTTCTGATGCCCCTGTCAGTCCCCCTCCCTGTCAACAACAACGCCCAGGTTGGTTTGTCACCAGCCCCACACTGACTAACTGTAGCTCCTGGCTGTGTTTCAGGCTCTTCCCACGCCCCAGCTTCTGAACACCGAGGTGCTGACCCCGAGATCTGCCATGAAACCACACTTGAAGCCCTGGCGACAACGAATGCTCTTTGGAATATTTGCGTGGGGTCTGCTCTTTTTGGCGATTTTCATCTACTTCACTGACAGCGACCCTGCTGAGCCAGTGCCCAGCACCTTCCCCTTCCTGGAGACCAGAGGGCTGCTGCCCATCCAGGGCAAGCAGCGGGCTATCATGGGGGCCATGCACGAGCCCTCCTCGCCCAGGAGTTTGGATGCAGATAAGGTGCTGCCAGGTGGACACCCGGCCGGCTCCTTTCACACAGGTCCAAAGGACCCGCAGAGATGGGCGCAGGCCCAAGATGGGTTTGAAAATGAAGAGCTCTTTTCATCCCAGGTGGGGAGGAAATCTCAAAGTGCTTTCTATCCGGAGGGTGACGACTACTTTTTTGCTGCGGCTCAGCCAGGGTGGCACAGCCATACTCAGGGGACACTGGGATTCCCCTCCCTTGGGGAGTCATCGCAGCAGGAGGCAGCTTTGTCAGGGGGCGCAGTTCAGAGGAGACCTATGCAGAAGAGGCACAGGAGGCAGGGGAGAAGCCACACACTGGAGGAACGCGAGGATGGCGACAGGCTGTACGCCTCCATGTCCAGGGCTTTCCTGTACCGGCTTTGGAAGGGGAATGTCTCCTCCAAAATGCTGAACCCGCGCCTGCAGAAGGCCATGAGGGACTACCTGAACACCAACAAGCACGGCGTGCGCTTCCGCGGGAAGCGGGAGGCGCGGCTGAGCAGGGCCGAGCTGCTGTGCCAGCTCCGCCGCCGCGTGCGCGTGAGGACGCTGGACGGCACCGAGGCGCCCTTCTCCGCCTTGGGCTGGCGGCAGCTGGTGCCCGCGGTGCCTCTGGGCCAGCTGCACCCCCGCGGCCTGCACAGCTGTGCCGTGGTCATGTCCGCGGGCGCCATCCTCAACTCCTCTTTGGGGGAGGAAATAGGTGGGTCTCACCGTGGGGATGCCCGTCACCCCATCTTGAGCCAGTGGGGAATGGGGGTCTGGCTCTTTTTGTGCGCACCTCTGGGCTATTACTGGTGGGAAAGGCGGGGGGGGGGGGGCGTGCATTGGATGTTTCCAACGTTAGCTGAAGAGCCGACAAAGGGTTTCCCTTGGTTGGGACCAAAAGAGACTGGTCCAGCAGAGCTATTCTAGAGCAGGATCCTAGGGATTCTTGGGGAGCTGGAAAGATGCTCCTCCTATAGCTAGTGCCAGTGGGGATGGAAGGCAACCCTCCGGGTACCCTGTGTCCCTTCTCTACTGCCGGTATCTCAAAAATTGCTCCCACAGAAACCACAGTCTACATCCATTGGTGCCTGCAAAGGCCAGGGCAGGCCATTGGGTGGCTGGAGTAGGGGGGAGGAACAAAAGGTCTCCACTTTGGTTCTTAACAGCAGGAGATCACCCAGTCAGGTGTGTCCCCTGCTGAGAGGAGACATGATGACAATTTTGATTACTTCAGGAACCAAATCCAAGTCCATGGGCTCTGAAGAACACCTACAGCTGCTGAGTACATGTCCCCACAGGAAAGTGACCTCTTCTGTTTGCACAGTAAACATGAGCACTGTGGGCACAAGGCCCAGCCTTTGGGTCATGACCAGTGCACATAGTAGGGGCCTTGTCCAAAATGGTCAATAGCCTGCCTATACCTGGACTTCTATCTTCCATGCCAGTCTGTGTTCAAACCCATGTCAGGATCCCTGGAGCACAGGTACTTGGTAGCTCCTGTATTGGGGTGCTCAAGAACAACAGATATAGAGAGACACTGATAGATTTATTTTAAGGGCTTGGCTCAGTGATTGTGGGGATTTGAAAATTTGAGGTCTACAGGACATGCCAACTGGTGGGACACTGAGACAGGGTTTCTGTGTTGTATTCTTGAGGCAGAAGTCATTCCTCAGAACTTCTTTGGTCTCCACTTTTGTTCTTAAAGCTTTCAACTGATTATATAAGGCCCATCTACTGTGTGGAGAGTGATCTGCTTTCCTCAAAGTGTACTAATTTAAAAGATAATCACATCTAGAAAGTACCTTCACAGTGATATATATGTACACTGCTATTTCATCAAACCACCAGCATGGTAGCCTAGCCAAGTTGACACATATCATTAAGCATCTGGCTCCCTATCAGTCTTCAAGTAAAATATTGGTGCTTGTATATCTCTTGGTTGCAGAAAATAGGGTAGGGCTGAAGGACCATCTCCTTCCACAGAGTCTAGGCTCTACACTGCGTAGGCTGGGACTGGGTGGCCACAGAATTCTCCATTTGCTCTGGGCTCAGCATTCATTTCCCCACCTTCCCCAGTCTCTCCCAACCCTTCTTGCCAGAGATCTGTTCTTTTCTGATACTGGTACCCCCCTCTCCCTCAGCAATTCTGTATCCCTTTGCTCCCCAGACTTCTCTCTCTGGTCAGGCTAATTCTATTGCCACACCAGTAAGCAAGCAGCTTGGCCTTTTAGGTCATTTTACTTCTTTAATAGACATATGTTTTGCCTCTACTGAATGTATGGCTCTGTACTAGGTATAGGAGGCCAGTGTGGCTCACCCTCAAGTCCAGATGTGAAACAACCACATCTAATGCATTCTCACTGCAGTTGGTCTTAGATCATAACTTGTCTGGAAATGACATTCAGAGGGCATTGCTCCTTCATTACAAAGAAATAATAGTGGTTTCCTGGCTTCATTTGAAGCAGGTCCGTCAGTCGTTCTGTGTCCTTGAAGAGTGACTGGTATTGCAGAGCTAGATAAGCGATGCCACTGTAGGAAAGCTTAGAAACCCAGACCTCAGCTCAGAAGTCCTTGGGAGTGAGGCTCAGTGGGATTTTGTTTTATTTTGTTTAAGTTAAAAAAAAAAAAACCCAAGACAACAAATATGGGCTTGTGGTCTTGGGTCCCTGGTTTATTCCAGCAGGCTCATAACAACACTGTCCATGTGTCACATAAGCTTGTAGCCAAAGCCAGAGCAGAGCAGCCTGCAATTTATTAAGAAAGAGCACTGGTTTAGAGGTCCCTGGGGTGGAATAACACCACAGTTCTTTCTCATTTCCGAGGACCAATATTAATAATGTAGAGGAGGAATTTAAGTATTATGCTTTGAAGCAGGCAGTAACTTGCTTCTGGTTTTGCTTTGTTTTAAACACCTCTGCATCGTAAATACTTAGTATTTGGATTGCTCTCGCATGCCAGAGAGAATTCCCTTGCTCTTTATTTCTGCATAAATATTCCTGACCAGGGCCTCTTAAACTCTATCCAGAATTTGAAAGAGAAGATGAAAGACATTGGGAAGTCCGTGTTTCTGAAAAACATGAGATGCCAGAGTTACATATTTGTTAGTTTCCAGTATTCAAATTTTAATTTATGTTGTGCGCTCTTAGAGGCAGCTTTATGATTAGAATTGTAAAATCACAAATGAAGAACATGCCTGGAATTTTTTTTTTAATTGTCTTTCTTGTTTTATCTAGGTTCCTTTGACTCAGATTTTGTACCTATACATTTTAGGACAAGTAATCAGAGTGCCACTCTATTTCGGAAAAACAAAGTCTTTCATCCTTATGAGTTGGCATCTCAGCCAGCGTATGAGCTGTATCTGCCAGGTGCTGACCTCTCTCCTACCTGCTCACCTGAAGGTTTCACTGAAAAATGCATATATTCATAAATGGCTCTCATGATAAGCCAAATTCACATAGCACATTCCTCTGCCACCTGGGAATAATTGGGGCATGCTGTCGCTAAACTCAGGTTGGCCCCTCAGTAATTGCTTGTGAATTGGCTAAGTGGAAATCAAAAGACTTACTAAAGTCTTCTGCATGATCTGATGAAAAATTGAAAGCAGAGCTGGAGAGTAGCCAGAGAAGTCTGTGTTAAGTAGCCCCAGGGCCCCTCCAGGCTGAGGTCCCCAGTACTCAACAGCTCCTTCCATCCTTCCAGTTACACCTGGGGTCTGCTGATTGGCTGCCCTTGGGCTCCCCCTGGTGTTTGTTCCATGGTCAGTACAGTCCTGTCCTCCACACGCTTAGACCGTAGTAACTGTTTTTGCTTAGAGAGAGAGATGTAGCAGTTGTAAACAGGTCCACTTTGAACATCCTAGTGAAAAGAAACATCAGCTGTTTTGGAAACATGGAACATTCTTTCCTAGAGTCATGAGATGGTCTTTGGTCACTCCTACATATCAGCAGTAATAATATGCTAGTGACGTCTCTACTAGGACTATTGTGGAACACACTACAGAGGACAGGTCTATTCTGGATGAACAGTAATGGCCTTGATGTGGAAGACCAAGGTCTGCATATTTGAATGTTGAATACTAATAGCAGGTGGGTGGGAAATGGGAGGGAAGAGATGGGGGTGTGTGGAAGGTAGAGTTTGGAATGTGGTATGTCGTGTTAACTTCAAGAAGGCATTTCACATAGTCATTCAGCAAGCATCAGTTATTGATTGACCACCAAATCTCTGCCACGTCCTCTACTAGACACAGATGAAAGGCACAGACTCAGCCCTCCAATTCTCTATCAGAGAAGTCTAGACTGTAAATAGACAATTCCAATATTTCTGGGAATAGAAGGACAGGGAGATAAGTCGATCAGGAGGATAGAAATGATAGAGGAGTCCTAACCCACCCTGAGGCCTGAGGACTGGGTGGGCAAAGAGAGGATGGTAAGAAGAAATGCCCCAAAGAGGCAAATCTGGGTTGAAGATTCAGTAATAGGTGCCACTTGAGATTATTTACTAGGAACAAGGACCCATTCTAATGCTTTTTCTCTGTTGACTATTAGAATCCTTACAACTCTAAGTAATAGGAAGATGCAGTTATCCCCACCTTACTGATAAGGAAATTGGGGCCCCTAGATCACGTGGGCAGAGCCTGGAGTCAAACCTCCATGTGGATTACAGGAACTTCAGCTCTCCTCTGTGCACCAGGGGCAGAGGCAGTGAGATCATTCCAACAGGGAAGCAGAGGGTATATTCTCATTTTATTAAAGCATGTCAGATCTCTGTCCCTGTGACAAATACCTGAGATAAACACTTAAAAGCAGTAAAGTTTTATTTGGGCTCATGGCTTCAAAGGTTTCAATCCGTGGTCAGTTGGCCCTGTTGCTTTTGGGTCTTTTATGAAGCAGCATGTCATGGGGGAGGGGAGTGCTGGAGGGTGCTCACCTCGGGGTACCCAGAGAGCAGAGAGAGGTGGGAGAGGCCAGCCTCTCAGTCTCCTCTTCAAGGGCACACTCCCAGCGACCTAACTCCCTTTTGCTAAGCCCAAAGTTTCCTGCACTTCCCTAGAGCCTGGTGTTTTAGTCAACGTTTGTGTTGCTGAGACCAAAAGACCGGACAAGAACAATTAGAAGAGGAAAACTTTATTTGGCTCATGGTTTCAGAGGTTCAGTCCTTGGTTGGCCAACTTCGTATCTCTGGGCCCAAGGTGAGGCAGAACATCATGACAGAAGAACGTGGTACAGGAAAGCAGCTCTGGACATGACAGCCGGAAAGTAGAGAGAGAGCTCTGCTCACCAGGGACAACATATAGACCCCAATGGCACACCCCAGTGACTACCTCCTCCAGCCATCTCTCCTGCCTAGGCAATCCACATCAGTGGATTAATCCACTATTAAGTTACAACTCTCATAATCTAGTCATTTCACCTCTGAATGTTCTTGCACTGTCTCACATGCGATCTTTTGGAAGATACCCCAAGATATCCAAGTCATAACAGCTGGGGACAAAGCCTTTAGCACATGGGCCTTTAGGAGACGGTTATCCCAACCATAACAAGAAAAATCAACCTACACCCTGGATTTGATGGCACAAGGAAAGTATGAGATGAGGGTACCCTGCCAGAGGAGAGACCAGGGCAGTGCGAATCAGGAGATGAATCTGGCCTTAGCCCCAGTCCCTGGTAGGCCATTTCCCAGTGACTGAAGACTTGTTCTCTCTCATTATTTCAAGTTTTTGCTTTCTGGTCAGTGGGTCAGGAGGAAGAGGGGAGAATGCAGAGCATGGGCCAGGGAAAGGCAGTGACTTGGTGCTGGTGGTCTCCTGGCCTGGCAATCAGGAGTGATGCTCTTTCAGCGTATGCACTTGGCCAGGCTCTGTTCTTAACATCAACACAGCCTTGCCTGGGCCTGGAAACGCCTTCTCTATTGCCCTTGTGCCTGCCGTCTGGTCTATTTCTTCTTTTTAAAATCTGAATGGACAGCTTAGGTTCTTAGGTGCTTCACCGACATCACCGAGGCAGTGTACAGCCAGGCCTATGTGAGGAGACCCTCCTGGCTCTTCCTCCAACATGCCCATCTAGTCCTGCTCACTGACAGCCTCCACCAGCTTTAGCACCAGCTCCATCAGCTGCGCCTCTGCCTTGTGAAGCTGTTGGAAGGCTCAGAACACAGCTCCACATAGGACCATCGATGGACAGTGAAATGCTGGAAGGTTTTCAATGCTGTTGTGATTAATGTTGAATTACTACTCGATTCATTTGAAAAGCACCCAACCACTTGGGACCCTGGGGTTGCTCATCTGACCTTGAGATGGAGGCTGTGTGGAGGGGCAGGCAGCCTGGATTCCTGGGAGAGCTGTGGTCTGAGAGTGTTTGAGTCACACTCCCTCCCTGGCCTGTCCCCACGGGGCTCCTCACTGTCTGGTGTCCCCTCTTATTTTCTACCTTCTCAGGGAAGTACCATAGATCATCACTTCTAACAATTCCATCTTGGAATTCGATTTTAATTAGAAATGTTCAGATATTTTGACATCATTTATACAAAGCATAGATTCCCTCAGTTATAGATTGATAAACATTTTTTTAAGACCCACGTAGGGTCCTCAGGGTCCTTTTAGTGGTCCAGAAGTTAAAAATATTATATAACTTTGACATTTGCATGGACCAAGCAAAGGTAATGATGGATAAAACTACTGGCTTTTTAGTACAAATTGAGGTAGTAGCACCCAACAATAGTCATCATCAGACTTTTTTTTTTTTTTAACCACTAAGTATCATTGTCAAGTGCAGATTTCACTTATGGTTGGCCTCAGTGAAGAAATCAAAATAGTTAATTTTGTGAAATCTCAACTTTTGAGTGCCTTCATTTTTCAGATCCTGTGTAACCAAGTGGGAAGCAAAAGAAAACACTTATGCATATCAGTGACATGCAAAGGCACTGTGGTATTGTGTTGAGCTGAACTAGCCACTCTTGTCATGAAACACAGTGTGTAGTTTAAAAAAAATTACTGACAAGCATACTTTAATTATTCATACTTGGATATTTGACAGATGTTTTCTCAAAAAGGAATTAAGGGAGACTGTCACCTTTAGGAAAAATAATGGACAATATTTGTTGCAAATGATAGAATTTAAGCTTTCAACTCACATTTCAACAATACTTGAAAACTAATGAGATCCATAGTGGTTAATCAATGTGATTTTTTGATACTTTATAATAAAATGCATCAATATTTGGAAGATCTGCCTGACTTTTTTAGCAGAGAGTTTTCAAAGGATGGTTACATGATATAACAAAGTCATGTGTGAATAAAGGACCCCCTCAAGAATAAATAGACCGATGGATTATAGTGTGTCAGAATTTATTGGACTCTTGGATTTGCACCTATTTGAATTTTTTAAAAGTAGATTTTTGGAAGCCTATCTTAAAAACACACTTGTTCTGAGAGGCTTCCTGTGAAGACTGCCGGGTTGGAGGAGGAAGACATAACTAATTCTGGAGTCATGAATTTATTAGGAAAAAAAAAAAAAACAACTCATTGATGTGTTTCAGTTTCCAAACTGTAACCGACCATTAACAAACCAGCACTTGTGAAGTTTTGATGAAGTTTTAAAGAAGAATATCTGCAGTTCTCTGGAATGATTCTTAAAATAGCCTTCCCTTCTTCAATAATGTATCTAAGTCTTCATATACTATGGCTAAAACAACATATTGAAAGAGATTGTCTCTTCTAAAAGCCAGTCAATGAAGGTTTTAAAACATTCAAAATATTGTCAGCCTTCTCACTAATTTTGTTCTAAAAATAGTTATTTTTTAAAAAAAAATTTATTTTAATATAAACTAATAGACACTTAAAATTTTCTGTTCTACTTTCTTACACAGAAAATAGGTTACAAATAATTTTCTTAAAGAGGTACTGATACTAAAATGTGAGTTCTACTGCTTTGAGTCTGTTCATTTTTTCTAGCTAAAGTATCATTTGGTTTTCTATGCCAATACATCATTTAGTAAAAATAAGAAAGCAATTCAGAACAGAAAAATATCAACAAGTGCTTAAAATTGTAAGGAAAAAATTAATTTTTAATTGGAAGTGTTCTGGTTTTTTGACATCATTTATACAAAACAGATTCCCTCAGTTCCAGAGATGAATAAGCTTTATTTTTTTCCTAAGGAGTCAGATAGTAAACATTTCAGGCATTGTGGGCCATATGGCCACTTTACAGTTTACTAACAGAATTGTCCTGCAGGTCATACATGTTGACTCTTGCAAATTTTCCCCTAAAAGAATACTGGAGGATTTTTAAAATGGCATAACCAGGTGTGCTTTATGCATTCCCTGTTGTAATCTTGGTACTCAAAACTGGAATCCCAATTCTTTCGCATTCAGGACTTGCTAATAAAGGCACCTATTATAGCCTTCTTTTAATGGGAGCATCTCTGGTAGTTTCTGCTCTTCAAGGAAGAGGAACATGTCCAAGAAGAGTAGAGCATAATCCAAGCAAAGGAGGCCAGCTGTCTCCGTTTCTGGGTGGGGTGTAGTCACAGTCAATGCCATGCCCTCGTGTCCACAAGGCACTTGAACATACAGAAATACATGATCCCACCTCTCACCCTCACAAACAGGCAATGTCATTGCTGCAAGCTAAACTTGGAAATTGCATGGGAGGGTTGAAGCTAAAGCAGCCCTCAGAAATTCCATTATTGCTCACAAGCTCTGGTTTTGGGGAATTTTTAGAGATGCATATGTCCATAGCCTGCCTTAACTGAGGGGCATTCCCCATTTCCACCCTTAGTTAGATGAGCCCCACTGTCCTCCCCTCTTCCTCTGTGCCTCCCTCTCAGCCTCCGTGATTTGGGAGCCTTATTTTCATCCAGCAACTCTTTGCCCAAAATTCAGAGAACTTAACAGAGAGTCTGCCTGCCAGGTTGAATGAAGGGTGATGGAGACTGATGTTTAAGGGCAAGCATGGTGGTCCACAGTGTACCATTTCAGAGAATAAGGAGGCTGGCCGGTGGTGACACTGGTGGTCTTTCCAGGGCTGCACAGTCAGTCAAGCCATGGCTTTGAGAACACAGAAGACTCAGGTTGCTCTCACATGGGTCTTCTTGACTTCCAGTATGGAAGGCTGCATGGAAATCAGGGTTGGTTTTCTTTTAAGCAGAAACCTTTACCAAAAGGTAGCAAGGTGGAATTGGATGCTGTGGCTTTCACCCTGGGAGAGGTGCACTTGATCTTTGTGAAGGCAGTAGCATTAGATGCAGTTCTTTATCACCATAACCAACTTCAGGGTTCCACAGGTAGTAAGAAGCCCAGACCAGAAGACCCTGAGCAGCCCGTGCCTTCGAAGCTAACATCTTTACCTGCTCCTGTAGATCCACCTTCCAAATGGCTTGGAACCTTTGGGGGAATAGCTGCATAAAGTGCGTCACTTGTAAAGAATATGAAAAGAAAACAAGCATTAAATATAACAGGATCACCTGTAATTGAGTATACACACACACACACACACACACAAACATGTCACTTAACGTGTCACATGTCGCTTAACGGGGATACACTCAGAAAAAATGCTTCATTAGGCAATTTCAACATTGTGTGAACATCATAGAATATACTTACATAAACTAAGATAGTTACAAATGTCACCAGGCAACCTAATCTGCATGGGACCTCTGTTTTATACATGATCCATTATTGACTCACATGCCATAATGCAGTGTGTGACAGCATGTATATTTCCATGTTGATCTCCCTAGCCAAGATGACATCATAAATCAGCAGTAAATTATCTTAAAAATATGTGTATGGATATGTTAATTTTACTGGTGGTGTCTGATTAGTTTCAGGTATTGAAAGATTTATTTAAATATTTTTCCCTAGAAAATGTATTCTTTTTTTTTTAGATAATGTATTCTATAGAAAGAAAAAGTAAGCTTGTTATTTATGTACCCTTAGATTCTCATGATGCAGTTTTGAGATTTAATTCTGCTCCTACACGTGGTTATGAGAGAGATGTTGGAAATAAAACCACTGTGCGCATCATTAACTCCCAGGTAAGATGGATGGAGTTTTTCACAGGGGTACCTTCTGTAGGTAAATAATTTAACTGGATGAGTGAACAGAAATGATCTGGTTGTCCATAACCATGATACTTGCTCATTTTTGTGGGTCTTGTAATTATAAAAATTAATGATGAAAAAGGCAGAGAAACAAGAATTTAGATGTGAATTATGAATAGAAAGAAATAAGTAAGATCAAAGGACAAATCAGAATAGGTATAGAAATAGAATTTTTTATAATCATAGACTTACCGTGTTCCATTTTGTGAGCTGAGAAAAGGCAACTCAGCTTAAAAGAAATCATGGCAATGAAGGTCATGGAGAAAAATAAAGGCACAAAATCTGAGGGTCTCTATTATATCTTTGAAACTTGAGTTTGTTATTTGAAAATTTAAAAGCTGAAAATGAGTTGTTTAATGGAAAATGAAAATACCTCTTTTCTTCATGTTCTTAATAAGAATGTCTTCCAAATTTATGGCAAAATTACTCTCAGAATAAACTACAAGAATTTCTAGAGTTTCAAAAAATATGTAGAAAAAATATGAGGTGATAAGTGATTTATGGAAAATTGCTTGCAGAACAAACCATTAGCTCTTTGTACAGTTCACTGCACCAGGCAGCCTGCAGCAAGGTAAGAAACAATTACCATATTTCCTTAATTCAGAGATGTCATTGGCTGTAAGATCCACAACTCGTTTAATAACAACTCCTCAGAGAAGAAGAGATAAATCCGACCAAATTAAAATACTTGCTGCCTGTAAGATAATCCTAATCTCAGACACATTAAAATATGAAAAAGTGCATTTTAATAATGGTAAAAAAAAATGCCTCTTAAAATTGAGGGGAAAAAAAACCCCAGAATTTTCCCCCAGAATGATAGTTTTTATAAAAAGATGATTGGCAGCTGAAATTGACGAATTCAACCGGAACCAGATAGGGCCACAGAGGGAGGACTGTGGCTGGCACTTTGGAGGCTGCTTCATAACTCAGCTCATTCACACCCACACTGTGTCTAAATTACATGTGGAGGCTATTATAGAGAGGGTCAGGGGACTTGAATTAGCTGGGGTGTTCCAGGGGCTAGAGCTCGGGCCACTAGCTATGGTGCAGAGCTGAAAAATGTAAACTGATATTTAAAAAAAAAAAAAAAAACTCTCATTTCCCTAAACATTCTTTAAATGCCTGAGTGTGCAAAGGATGCCTGTCTCCCTCTCCCAAAGGCAAATAGAAAGCCATTTTATCCTTGCTCTGGATCCCTCTTTTAAATTTTGAGCTCTTTTTTAAAAATATGCTTTTGAAGTAGTAAACACTGGCTGCATCTGAACTTTTTTCCCCTATGTGCGTGCAGATTCTGACCAACCCCAGTCATAACTTCATTGACAGTTCTTTGTATAAAGACGTCATTTTGGTGGCCTGGGACCCAGCTCCTTATTCCGCAAATCTTAACCTGGTAAGTGTTTCCCTGATGCCCTGACCCCCGTGATCAGACAGGGCCTCTGACTGATAAATCATGGGAGGGGGTCAAGAATTGCACGTCAACAAAATGAAATTGATCATGGGTCCTAACTGAGCACATATGTGTGCACACATTTTGATGCCCAGGTATGGTAGTACACTTGAACATTATCCATCAAATGCTAAATCGCTTTTATTCTAGAGGAATGGAAGAAAAATGTGCATATCTAAATGCTCAGAAATTCCTGGCTATACTAAAGGTTGGGCTGATTAAACTTACAATGGTTCTAATGTGACCGGAAGACATCCCCCTCAGAGTGGTTGCAAGACCTTTGGAAATAAATTAAAAGTGGTTGGCAAGAAAATCTAAATTTTGTGCATCCACAGCTCATTGTTATTCAAATGGAGCCTGTTCCAGGTTTTCCTTGAGTGTTCCTCTTTGCCTTCTGCTTCTGAACCTGTTAAATTTTATGCAATAGAGCTGAAACAAGTTTATTACTAGTCATCAGAATATAAGCAGGCTGCATTTGGGACCTTCTGGCAAATCATCATCTACCTAAGCAAACAGCTAGCAACTTTTAATGGAGCTTTGAATGAAAAACCAGTGAGCTTAGTTTTTAGTGAGGGTTGGAAAAGATAGACAATGTTTAGCCTAGCATGGTATGTTATCAACTACGCAAATGTCTTTAACTTGTTTTTGCCATGACCAGAGAGCCTGCAACTTCCTTAACCCATTGTGTTATCATTTAGATGTGCAACACCTATAAAAGTTTAACTGTAGCATATAATATATAATTATATAATAAATAATGTGATTGAATAATAAAAACACTAATGGGAAGACTATAAGTATATTATAGTATAATAATGTTAGTTAATATTAATTAATATAAGTATCATCTTCTGATTTCCAACCTATTTTAATGTACCCATATAATTTCATTGAAATATCCACAAAATTGAAAACTTGGGACTTAATTCATTAAGATGAATGTGGAGGCCAGGTATTGAGGGCTCTAACAGGTAACATTCTAAAAAAGCTATCCAAGACAGAATGGCTCCCTCCTGAAGGAGTGTGGGTCACCATCCATCTTGAGACTGAGGCTGGATATTGATTGCCACCACATCTTAATAATAATCAGAATCACCTGCAGAAAATTTTTTCAAAATCTGTCCATCAGACCCCCAATTTCCAGAAGTAGAGGACATAGCCTTGATTTTTTTTTTTTCCAAAAGCCCTCTGGTTGATTCTCCTATATGTCCTCCACTGAAAATCAAACATTAAATGGGGCTTGGAACTTTTCAGATTTTTTTGTCAGCTTGAGGTTCCCAGTTTTAAACTCGGGCAGCTCTCCTGCTATTTGTGAAAAGACAGCCTTTCTGTCTGTTGCCCTTGTTTTTTTTCTCTGTGGGAAATATCCAAGCCCAGGGCACAGCGCTGTCCCACCTGACAGATGTGGGCAGAGAGGATGCCAAAATCCAAGCAACACAGCCCGTAGCTGTGGGGCCTGAGCTGCCAGGTGACACACTTCTGAAGATCTTTTTAATCCAACCTTACTGGTTTTTTTAATACAGTATACCTACAATAAGTGCAAATGCACATTCTCATGAATATTAACAAATGTATGCACTCATGTAACCACCATCATGATCAAGAAAGGGAACAGTTCCATCACCCCAAGAGTTCCCATGTCACGCCATCCCAGTCAGTCTTCATGACAGAGATCAGCAAACTATGGCTGGCCAAATCTGTCAACCACCTGTCTTAATCAATGTTACCATGGTAGCACTTGGTAGTAGCCACAGAGACCACCCACAGAGTTTCAGGTGTTTATCATCTGACCCTTTGCAAAAGCCTAATAACCTCTGATTTATCTTTTTTTCTCTCATTTTGTTAAAAAGCAAAGCATCGTCTCTGCCAGAGCTAGAACCCTGGTCTGGCTTCATACTTGTCCCTGAGGAAGTGTCTATAACCATGATAAGTCACGGTCCTCCATGCTCCTTCTATCCCAACCTGGAGCCTCAGCATCTACTTCCACTTGCTTGCATGCTGTTCTGTCTCCTTTTTACACTGTAGTTCCCTGTACTTGATTGAGTGTGTGTATGTGTGCTTTTCCTTAGTGGTACAAGAAGCCAGATTACAACCTATTCACGCCATATATTCAACACCGTCAGAGAAATCCAACGCAACCATTTTACATACTTCATCCTAAATTTATATGGCAGCTTTGGGACATTATCCAGGAGAATACCAAGGAGAAGATTCAGCCAAACCCTCCATCTTCTGGTTTCATTGGTATGTGTATATTAAAAATTGTAATAATTGGGCAGGACCTCGTATTTAATAAACATAGTCAGGTTATATAGTAAAGCAATTAACAGGTATATTTAGAGATTAAGCCAAGGAAATGAGAAATACTCTTTTCCAGTTATCTATTACTATATAAACAAACACCTCCAAAATTTCAAGGTATAATGCAATAAATACTTTATTTTCTCCCATGATTTTGTGGATCAGCTTGGGCCAGCCTGGATGATTTTTCTGTTCCACATAGTGTTGATGGAGTCACCTGGTACTCAATGCTTCATGGAATAGTTGCACTTGGAGGTCTAGCCTCTTGGCAGGGAGAGCTAAAACCAGACCCCAACTGGGACTGTTGAGCATGAGCCTGCATTCTCTTTCATGGTGGTCCCAAGGTAATTAGAATTCTTAAAATGGCAGCTTTCCTACGGAAAGTGTTCTAAAAGACAGGAAACAGAGGTTGTCATGTTCTTAAAGGCAATGCCTGGAGACTTGCACAATGTCATGCGTGCTATTCAGTTGATCAGAGCGATCTCAGAGTTTACCAAGTTCATGGGGAAGTAACATAGACCCTACCCCTTGATGAGAAGCAAGAGAAACATGTCCAGGAATTTATGAGTCTCTTTAATTCACTACTCACCCCTATTCAGTTGCTTATGTGATGCCAGACTGAGGAGCTGAATCTGTGACCCTAAGACGGTATGGTGTATTTTAAGGTTACTGGTAGGTAAGAGCTTTGATGAGACTAGTTTTAGTATCACATAGAGTTCTCTTAACAGGAGAGTCCACTAACTCTAATCCAAGAATGGATTTATATATATCGAGATAATCACACTTAGCCTATATATTTTCAGCCAGGTGTTAGACCTCAAAATTTGTGGTTTTGTTCCATTTCTTTATGTTTCAGCTTATCACCAATTACTTATTTGATTTTATCCAAGTTGTCAATATTAAGGCATATCTTAGATCCCCAAAGTGATAGGAAGACTACAGGAAAACCAAAGGGTATTGGTTTTGTTGCTATCCCAATTTTCAATGAATTTACCTCTCTGATCCACCGGTGGGCTACACAAAGGTCCCTATGAATAGAAGAGAGATTTAGGGAGATAATGCTTGTTTGGTTATGAATGTAGGATACACATATGTCTGGAAGCAAGGCTTTTAGGCTTGCACGTTTTGGAGTGGATTTATACTATTGTAATAATGTGAAATATTTTACATAGGACTGCAGAAGAAAAATTTATAATTGGACTGCATATTATTTTCCTTAAGTCTTATTTTCCCCCCTTCTTTAAAGCCATGTTTGAAACTCTTTGTTTCCAAATCACCCATGAAATTCCAAATTTTTTTATCTTTTGTGTAGTTTCATAGGATCCTTTTGATTTAGGAGAGAAAGTATTATCTGGTTTGTCAGCAAAGGGTAAACAGGAGAGAGCAATGCTTGGACAGCATAATAGAATGTGGCACAAGTTTTATAAAGACTTCTTTTCATATTGTCATCTTGAATTCGTGTGAATAATGTTTGATTAGGACAAAGGGGGGAGACTGTCAGATATAATTATTATTGACATGTAGTTTTAAAATTTCAAAAGTTATGTTGTTATTGGCAAGAAAAGTACTTGCCCACACATTTTGTTGAAGGAAATCATGCCACATAGGACCAGCTTCCTTTGATTGCTATTTACCTAGAGTCTGGAGCTTGCAAAGGCTCATGATTACCTTTAAGGCTTCCTTTGCATGAAAAGGAAATTGCAATTCAATGTCATTGCAAGACTGTAGGTCAGGGATACCTAAGGTGAGTTTCAGTCCTTCTGTGCCACTCGCTAGCTTTCTGACTTTGGTCAAATTGCTTCATTCTTTGTTCTTTGATATCCTCAGGCAAGGAATGGGAATAATAATAATAAAATCTTTAGACAGATAAGGTATCTTGACAATTTACAATCATTATTATTTTCTAGCACTGCCTCAACCAATACAGCAGCTAATAGCCACATGTGACTATTTAAATCTCAATTAATTCAAATTAGACAAGAGGATAAGTTGTTTCTGAGCCCCAGTAGCTCCATTTCCAGTTCTCAACCACGTGTTCTTGGTGGCTTGCAAATCAGAAGGTGCGCATAGAGAACTCTGCCATTGTCACAGAAAGTTGTGCAAGGCAGCACTGTTACGTTTTACCAATGAAAGAAAAACAGCAAGTTGATAAGTTCCCACTCAGCAGGCTGTGTTATATGGGCGGGACTGAAGATACAATAGAAGCCATAGTCTGACTTTGTTAAATTCCCCTCCTCCTCTTGAGCTTCGCCATGGTTGTTGAGAACTCTTACTAAGGACGAGCAGTAGAGGCAGCCCGGGTGAGCTTTGACAGCACCCTCTGAGTAAGTTCCCTGATGCTGTTGTAGTCTTTGTTCTCCTCTTTGGTCTTGATCAGAATCAGGCTGAGAGCCACAGTCTGTTTTATCATTTATCTGACATTTTCAATAGCAGTAGAATGATGTCACCCACATCTCAATCTGTCTGCCATAACAACTTCTAAAAAGATCAATGAGTTTTGTTTTTTTTAATCAAAAAGTATCTTCCAAATGCCTCTTCACGTTTGAAGGTCATGTTGAAAAGTATTGACCTGTTGTCTCAGTAGTCATCATATCCAAGCACTCTCACCTCTAACATCCACTCCTAAACAAAAGAACCTATGGTAGAGCTATTAGGAGGGATTAGAATGTTTGCACAGTCCAACATTGTGCCCTTGGTACACAGGTCGCCAGGCCAGGGTGGGTCCTTGTTCACAGAACAGCTTGGCAGCATCCCTCACCTCCTGCTGGGCCCACCCACATAGGTCTTTGCTCCAGATCAAGCTGTGAGAATTACTTTCTTCACTGACATGTTCATTCAGGTGTGAAAAATTGTCTCTGATTTGGTGACTTATATTTCCAAACCTATCGCCTATGTTTTCTTATATGCTTTTAGGGATCTCTGTATGTGAAATAAAGGAACTCGAAAAGTTGGCTATTTTGAACATGAAAGACGTTTCTTTTTATGGAAATGGATTCAATAGGGAAGTTAGGTTCCCAGAGAGATGCCCCTTAAATGTTGTGTGATTGGTACTGTTCAAGAGGCTCAATTCAGCGAGAAAGGAGTCATCCACCAAGTGGATACTAATTGAGCATCTCCTGTGTACCAAGCAAAGGTCCTGCCCACTTGGAACATGCAGTGAAGTGGAGGAGGTGAGGACTATGATGCACAGGTATGTGTGCATAAATGAAAGGTAATTACAAACTGTGGCAAAAGCATTGAAAGGAGCAGGATGTGAAAAGGGCTGGGCAGTATCTTGCCGCAGCCCAGCTGGCTGGGCAAAATAGCCGGGGGTTGACGAGCAACTTGTGTAGATTGATACAGCAGGAGTGGGAGCCGTTTATTGTAGGACAGGAGGGGTATATATACATTCCACACAGCTTATCTTAATTAACATAAACTAGATACAGTAGTCAACCAATAAGGAATCTCCACACTTAATGGCTTGCTGGCGCCACCTCACAAACCACTCCCCCTGGCAAAATGCCAGGCTCCATCTTGACTTGTTTACAGACCCTAACAGTATCTACTCTGGCCATCACTGTGTTTTTATTCTCAGTGTGGCAAGTAGTTGAAAAACAAAGCAAAGTAAGTACAGTTGGCCCTCCTCATCTGTGGGTTCCACACCTGTGGATCTAACCATCCATGAATGCATGTTCTAGCGCCGTGGTTCTCAAAGGTTATCATGCATCACAGTTGCCCATGAAGTATATGCTTTTCACTGCAAAGCAAAACTTAGCTACTAAAAACAATAAGCATGCATCACCTTTACAGAGTTTCTGTGGGTCAGGAATCCAGGAGCTGACTGACTGGATGATTCTGGCTTGCAAAGTCTCATGAGGTTACAGTTGAGCCCTCTGGACCAGGCTGGATGATCTGTGCTTCCAACATGGTTTGTTGGTATGGCTGTTGACTGGAGGCCTCAGTTCCTTACTCCACCAGGCTGCTTGGGCCCCCTTATTACATGGTGCTGGCTTCCCAAGAGCAGGGAATCTGAGAAAAAGAGCAAAGAGGAAGTAACAGGGTTTTGATGATGCCATAAACTATCAGATTTGCTATATGTTATTCATTAAATAAGTCAGCTCCCTTGTGGGAAGGAAACTACATGGAGGCATGATTAGCAGGCAGAAACCATTCAGAGCCAGTTTTGAGGGTGTCTATGACAGCTTTTTAAACCAAATTACTCAGTGATTCTGAGTAGGTGGAGGTGGTGAGAATTTTCATTTCCAACAAGTTTTCAACTGGTGATGATGCTAGTCCTAAGACCACACTTTGGAAACAACGCTTTTAGCTTTTTAAAAATCTCAGAACACTAGAAATCTAGTCAATAGGTAGATATACTGGTATATGTCCCAACAAAGTGATATACAGTGGCCTCAGTGAGAGGACTCAGGATTCCTGCTCATCACTTACTCAGACTGATCACGTCTTTGTTACAATGTTGAAACACAAGTGGAGTGATTATTTTTTTTGTGTTTAGTTAAAACAATGTTATTAAAAATTATATTATTATTATTATATATTTATTATTATATTATTAACAATGTTATTATTAAGACAGTATTGTTAAAAATATAACATTGATCTTTGTCTTTGAAATTGTGTAGTATTAAACCCTGCATTCCAGATTTTTAACTACAAATGCAATTATACATTTCATTTCTTTTGAAGACATAGCTATAAAATTTACTGCCATTACTAATAAACAGATTTTATGTTCTTAAAAATTATTGTGAAATGACATACATAATAGCTGCTTGTAAATGTCATTTTTAAAAGTGAACTTCTGTTTGTTTCTATATCCCATTTTATTGGGAATACTGATTAATGGGGTATAAGTTAGGAAACCTACTCCCATTGATTTCAGAAAACCATCCTCCTCTCCATAACATTTGGTGGGATGATTTGGTGCAATGAACTAAATG